AAGGGACTGTTCGGTCATTTGTTACCATAACAACCCATTCGGAGAGGCCAATAGGCTTGGGGAAGGCTGTTTCCCGAGGCCCAACCCAACCAGTTTAAGGGGAAAGCTCCGCCGTTCCCCCTCTTCGTCCCTCCCTCCGCAATCCCCTAGCCACTGAGCGGTTCCGTCCATCATCCTCCCTCCCGCCTGCCCCGGCGGCCGCGGCCGGAGAGTGGGGGCTGAGGAGAACGAAGGCTTTTGGCCCTCCTCACCCCACCTCGCACCTCGCGATTCAGGTGCTCCCGAGAGCCAGGGAGGGTCCAGCTGCGGGGCAGATTGTTCCTCCCGGAACTGAGACCCGGAGTGAGACGCTGAATTTACCCCGACCTGGGGATGAGTCGTTGGAGATGGGCTCCAGCACGGTGCTTCCCACATCTTCAAACAAAAACACCTAGGCCGGCCTTCTTGAGTCGAATCCCCAGGAAAATGCTTTTATTTAGAGGTTGTGTGCGAAAGGCTTTTCTCCAGGGATTTGGGGGATCTGGGGGAGCCTACTCAGATCTGGAGGAAGGGTGTCTCACAACGGCCACATCCAGCCTCGAGCCTGATAGCTTCTCTATCAGTTTTCACTTCGGAACAGCCTAAGAAAACGCTATTTGGGGCACGTAGGAAAAAAATACACGTTTTACTTCCAAGAGTCTTTTCCCAGACTTCTGAAATCCTATTTGGAGGCTGGTGATGATGCTCTCGAAATACAAAGTATTCAAATAGTTCTGCCGTAGAGCTTCATTATAGCACAATAAACTAAAAGGGTGCGTTTTTTTTTTTTATTGACTAGATGATAACCTAAATGTAGTCTAAAAAAAGGTATTAATTACATAAAATTTGCTTCACGATTGTCCTCCTTTGACCACTAGGTTCTGCAGAAATACTTTGTTCCCCAGTAGAAACCGCTCTTAATAAATTAATTCCTTTATTTGTCCCATATAAAGTAACATTTTCATGTCTTACTTTTGTTCGGCTTTGAGTTTTGTTTTTTTTTTAAGATTTTATTTATTTGCGAGAGAAAGAATGAGAGACAGAGAGCATGAGAGGGAGGAGGGTCAGAGGGGGAAGCAGACTCCCCGCCGAGCAGGGAGCCCGATGCGGGACTCGATCCCGGGACTCCAGGATCATGACCTGAGCTGAAGGCAGTCGCTTAAACGACTGAGCCACCCAGGCGCCCTGTTTGTTTTTTTAAGTAGGCCCCACGCCCAGTGGGGAGCCCAACATGGGCTTGAACTCACGATCCTGAGATGAGACCTGAGCTAAGATCAAGAGTCAGTCACTTAACTGAGCCACCCAGGCATCCCTGTTTTGTTTATTTATTTATTTTTAGATTTTTTAAAGATTTTATTTATTTGCGAGAGAAAGAATGAGAGACAGAGAGCATGAGAGGGAGGAGGGTCAGAGGGAGAAGCAGACTCCCCGCCGAGCAGGGAGCCCGATGCGGGACTCGATCCCGGGACTCCAGGATCATGACCTGGGCTGAAGGCAGTCGCCCAACCAACTGAGCCACCCAGGCGCCCTCGGCTTTGAGTTTTTTAAAGCAGCTTTATTGAGGTATGATATACTGTAAACTGCACATACTTAAAATGTACAAGATTGTTTGATATGATATTGTGCTTGCACGTGATATCTCATATGAATGAGAAGTAAAACCTGGGGAAGAGAGCTTGTCTTTCCTCATTTGAAGCTAAGAAATATTGTTGAATAGATTTTATTGATTCAGTAATTTCATACTATTGTTAGTGGTGATATTTATTTATTTATTTATTTAAGTACGCTCCAGCCCAACGTGGAGCCCAGGGGCCTGAACTCACCACCCCGGTATTAAGACCTGAGCTGAGAGCAAGAGTGAGCCGCCTAACTGAGCGTTTGTGGCTATATTTAGACTAACAGACACGGTTAAAATAAAGGAACTTTGAAAGTTCTTGTTTTCTGGGGGGAAATGGGGTAAAAAAAAAAAAAACAGTTTTACTTGTAGTTTTTTTTTAAGATTTTATTTATTTATTTGACAGAGAGAGATACAGCGAGAGAGGGAACACAAGCAGGGGGAGTGGGAGAGGGAGAAGCAGGCTTCCCGCCGAGCAGGGAGCCCGATGTGGGGCTCGATCCCAGGACCCTGGGATCATGACCTGAGCCGAAGGCAGACGCTTAACGACTGAGCCACCCAGGCGCCCAGTTTTCCTTGTAATTTTAAAGGTGAATTTAGTAACTAAACTTTGAGTTATGAACTCTATCTGCCTTTTGTTATTTTTTTTTTAACCTGTTAACAACCAAGTGTGCTTCAGAAAAAGTTTTCAGGGGGGCCTGGGTGGCTCAGCCAGTTAAGCACCCAGACTCTCGACTTAGGCTCAGGTCGTGATCTCGGGGCCCCTGGATCCCACCCTTCCTCTGGCTCTGTGCTCAGTGGGGAGTCAGTTTGAGAATTCTCTCTCCCTCTCCCTCTGACTCTCCCTCCTGCTTGTGTGGGCTCACACTATCTCTCTCAGATAAATAAATCTTTATACATTTTTAAGATTTTATTTATTTATCTGAGAGAGAGCGTGCATGCACACAAGTGGGGGACCGGGCAGAGGGAGAGAATATCGAAGGAGACTCCAGCTGAGCCAGGAGCCCAACCAACACAGGGCTGGATCTCACAACCCATGAGATCAGGACCTGAGCGAAACCAAAAATCAGAGGCTTAAAAGCCTGAGCCACCCAGGCGCCCCAATAAATAAATCTTTAAAAAAATTAAAATAAAGGGGGGCCTGGGTGGCTCAGTCAATTAAGCATCTGCCTTCTGCTCAGCTTATGATCCCTGGATCCTGGGATCAAGCCAGGCAAGGGGCTCTCTGCTCAGTGGGGAGCCTGCTTCTCCCTCTTCCTCTGCCTGCCGCTCCCCCTGCTGTGCTCTCTCGCTCGCTCTCTGTCAAATAATTAAATAAAATCTTTAAAAAATAAATTAATTAAATAAAATTAAAAATTAAAAAAGTTTTCAAAGCTCTTATTTGACTTCTATTGTATCCCTCACACAGTGCACAGAATAAACAATATATGCTTGGCATTTAAATCAAATCTGTGTACCCTCAAAAGACAGGGAAAACTCAGGTGCTGTAGCAATCTTTTTCAAATCATGTGCTAAACTACAACAAGAATCTTTTTTGTTTGTTTATTTTTAAGTAAGCGCTATGCCCAACGTGGGGCTCTAACACACAAGCAGAGATCAAGAGTTGCATGCTCTACCAACTGAGCCAGCCAGATGCCCCAGGAATTTTTTTTTTTTTTGGTATCCTCAGGACAGACTACAGATTAGATAATCAGTATTTTTAAATATACAAATGAATAAATACAAACTTCTCCCATGATAATTTCAGTGCCAATTCTTTCATCAGAATATGCAACTAATGCACTCTTTGCACCAACCTTAAGCCCCAGTTATCTGCCCTCTCTATGCTAGATGCAGTGGTGAACATGATAGGCCCTTAGCCTGGCCTTAATGAAGTTTATAGTCCAATTATAATCTCATGGAATAATATGAAAAAGTACTGCATCTGACAAGGAAATAGTGGGTATACCAGAGCTATTTTCAAAAATCAAACCCACTAACTATTGTGTTTCCACAAAATATGAAGCCTTTCCATTTTTTTGAGGAAAATAACTATACTCCTCCGTTGGCTCACAGAATGTTTACAAGAGGAGTTAATTCCTCCCAAAATAACCTCTGTTCTAGGCAATCAACTACCCTTCTGATGTAAATTATTAATTAGCACTGCCAGTAGGTGGAATTCCCCTTTAATATGTGAATCCACTGTGTGTAAATAATATGCGGGAATAATATCTACATTTATTTATACATATATATATATGTACATACACACACACACAGTTGACCTGTGAGCAACACGGGAGCGGAGGGGGGGGCGGTTGGGGCACTGACCACCCGCATGGAGGAAAATCTACATATAACTTTAACTCCCCATATACTTAACTACTAATAGCCTACTGTTGACCAGAAGCCTTACCAATAACAGTCAGTTAACACATACTTTGTATGTTAGATGTATTCTATACTGTATTCTTACAATAAAGTAAGCTGGAGGAGAAAAAATGTTAAGAAAATCATAAAAAAGAGAAAATACGTTTTATAGTACTGTAAAAAATCCACCTATAAGTGGACCAACACAGTTCAAGTGCCAACTGTACATATGTGTGTGTGTATATATATATATATAAAATATTTAGACATTATACATTATATATATATATATTCTTACTAAAAATATGGACAAGCTTTTTACCTATTTAATCATTCTTTAAAAAAAAAAAAAAGATTTTCTGGGGTACCTGGATGGTTCAGTCAGTTAAGCGTCTGCCTTCAGCTCAGGTCATGATCCCAGGGGCTTGGAATGGAGTCCTGTGTGGGGCTCCCTGCTCAGTGGGGAGCCTGCTTCTCCCTCTCCTTCTGCTGCTCCCCCTGCTTGTGCTCTCTCTCGCTCTCTCTTGCTCTCAAATAAATAAATAAATAAATAAATAAATAAATAAAATGAGCGGAGTGAGGGGCAGAGGGAGAGGGAGAAGCAGACTCCCAGCTGAGCAGGGAGACTGACATGAGGCTCAATCCCAGGACCCCGGAATCATGACCTGAGCCAAAAGCAGATGCTTAACTGACTGAGCCACCCAGGTGCCTTATCTATTTAAACATTCTTATTGTTTACACATTTTATGATTACAAAAATAATTTATGCTTATTCTAAAAAATTCAAATACAAGTATGTAAGTAAAAAATGAAAGTTCTCCCTCTCTGCCCTCGGCAACAGGGTAACTACTGTTCACAGTCTAACATGCATCCTTCCATGCCTTTTTCAATGAACACACAAACAAGATGTGTATAACTTTTTATTTTTGATCTTTACTAAAATAGGATCATTATAAGTAGTTTGCTACTTGCTTTTTTTTTTTTTTAAAGATTTTTATTTATTTATTTGACAGAGAGAAACACAGCAAGAGAGGGAACACAAGCAGGGGGAGAGGGAGAAGCTGGCTTCCCGCAGAGCGGGGAGCCCGACGCGGGACTCAATCCCAGGATCCTGGGATCATGACCTGAGCCAAGGCAGACACTTAACGACTGAGCCACCCAGGCGCCCCTGCTACTTGCTTTTTAAACTCAAGGTAATATGGACATTCTTTCATGAGCAGTCCTAAAACTATATAGTTCAAAATATTTGTTTTTCAAGTTTATGACTTAGGAAGATAACTATCACAAGAATAGAGCCATTCTGGTGTTAGCTCAAAAGGAGACTCTAAAACTGGCATGTAACAGACATTCAATGAATATTTGTTGACTGATCCAGAGCTTCTGATTTCAATTTCACCTTGCTTGTCCCTGTTGTGTTCCTCTGGTTCAAACAGGCAAATGCAGGATTACCTGAGAACCTACAATAGAGGTTGCACTTGACATTACAGAGTTTAGAGATAAGGATTATCAGGGAGGGAGACTGACAATTCAAGTGATGTGAAAACCAGTTCATAGTTTGGGGGCTTAAAATTTTTATTTTGTCAGCAACTCTAGTCTTAGCAATCTTTTTCACATTTTCAGAAAAATATGACTGAATGGAAATAATTTCTCAATTTAAATTTTGCCCCTATATATTTATCTTAACCATTTGTCATTTCCTTCCAGTTGTGGATGAAAAAGGAAAAGAACGTGTAGCAAATGAATAGTAACAGAAAACCTCCCAAATATTATTTCATAACAAGGTATAAATAGATTTTCTCACAAAAAAAAGCTGTTCGTTTTTTCGTTTGTTCATTCAGCATGACCCCTGCTGTCAGGGAGCTCATAGTCTGCTGGGTGAAATAAACAATTAAACCAACAATTACCATACAGGATGACAAGAGTCATACCATACAGTGTGAAAAGATAGCAGCATAAACTGGGAGCATGAAAGAAGCATCTAAATCAGACAGGAGTGAATTGGAGTACCTAGATTAAGGAAGAAAACAGGAAAAAAAAGAAAAAAGAAAACCAACCCAGAGGTAGATCAAGGTTTTGTGGGGCTCAAAGCATATACAACAGTGGAGAAAATGAACACAATATTATAAATATAAAATTTTATGGCCCATGTAAGGGAAGTTTCGCTAGGTTCACTATATATCCACCTGTTTGAAGAGACCTGTTCAAAGGAAATAGATCTTTGAGATCTGTATTTCAAAAGAGATCAAAATGTGTGTAGGAGAGTTTATAAGAACCAATCATAAGTAATCTCTTATGAGCTTTATAGTACAAGAAATGGGAGTCCACTGAAGGATTTTTATGGGAGAGTGGCCAGATGTTTGTATCAAAAAGATAATTCTGGCAGTGCCAGGTTTGGTAAAAATTAAATTACATTTCTTTAAAAATACTTAGGGTTCTCTTTTTTGTGTGTTTAAGGGGAAAATGATGTAGTACAGTGTAAGTTTCATGGGGGGTAAAGTGGATAAAAATCATGTTATTTTGTAGGTTTGTTTATAAAGTTTACTCTGAGAATTACATGAATTAGTTTTAATTAAATGCATCACTGTCTAAAATTAATTTCCCAGACTGTATGGTGGCTGAAATTCTGTGAGTCAAAATAAAAAGCTCTATTCTTCTTATCACTTAAGGAGTTTTCTGGTACTGACTTTTGCTTTGAGCGGCCCAGTTCATCTAATTCCAAGACTGTTCTGTGCCAGGAAATAATTTAGGCCAAGGCAAGAATAGAGCCTGTTATCAGATCACTGAATATGTACATGTATTGCTTGGAGAAACCATAGCTCAGAATAGTGGTTCAAAGTCTGATAAAATGGTTTCACTCCTGTCTGCAGCAGCTTCTTAGCCTGACGACTCTAAGACAGTCATCTAACTTCTTTTTTTTTTTTTTTTTAAGATTTTATTTATTTTTTTGACAGAGAGAGACACAACATGAGCAGGGGGAGTGAGAGAGGGAGAAGCAGGCCTCCTGGCTGAGCAGGGAGCCTGATGCGGGGCTCGATCCCAGGACCCTGGGATCATGACCTGAGCCGAAGGCAGACGCTTAACCACTGAGCCACCCAGGCGCCCCAGTCATCTAACTTTTTTAAGTCCCCATTTTCTTATACATAGAAAGGAATTAATGACAACTCTCACTTCATAAGGTTATTACGAGGATGAAATGAGATGATATACTCTGTATGACTTTACCATAGTATATTTGACCCAGCAATTCCACTTCTAAGAACACAAGATGGATTTTCTCACACATGTGGGAAACAAAATATGTAGAAGAGTATTCATTTTGGCATGGCTTGAAGTTGCAACTAATTGAAAATAACTGAAATGTCCATTAGCAGGGAATGGGTTAAATTAAGGTACATCTGTGCAATAAAACAGCAGTTCTCAAGCTTTTTAGCCTCAGGACCATGTTACACTCTTAAAAATGATTGAGGACCCCAAACAGCTTTAGTTTATATGCATTACATCTATCAATGTTTATCGTTTTAGAAATTAAAACTTAGAAAGTATAAAAAATATTTATTCATTTAAAAATAGCGATTATAAACCCTTTACGTTGAATATAAACAACATTTTTTTAAAATAACTCTGTTTTCCAACACACAAAAAATCAATAAGAAAAGTGGTCTGGTTTATATTTTTGTAAATCTCTTTAATGCCTGGGTTAATAGGAGACAGCTGGATTTTTATGTCTGCTTCTGCGTTCATTTTGTTGCAGTAACACACAACATGTAGGCTCTGGAAAACTCCACTGTACTCTGGTGAGAGTAAAAAAGGAAAATAACATTTTGGTGTTATTATAAATATAATTTCTACCTCAACACCCTCCTGTCATTTTGAGAATCACTGCATGGGAATATTACATGGCTCTAAAGAATGAGGAAGCACTATATGTGTTGTTATAGAATAATCTCTAAGATGCATTGTTAAGTGAAAAAGAAATAAATAAAAGCAAGGTACAGAACTCTGTAATAGTATATTAACAGTGCATTCATTTTAAAAAGTCAGGGAAATAGAACATATCCATACATATAAATACATATTATGTTTATATGTGCAGGTAATATCACTGAAAGAATATGGTAAAAAAAAAAACTGGTAAATTAATTGTCTCTAGATGTGCAGCCTGGGACACAGGGTAAGAAGGAAACTTTTTCTTCATTTGCTTTTTTGCCTTTTGAACTTTCTACCTTATGAAACTATTAACTAATCAAAAAAGTAAATTTGTTTTTAAAGGAGGAGATGATATATATACTTTTCACAGTGGCTGGCAGATGCTTAATAAATTACACATAGTGTCTTTTTATTCTGAGGTAAAATAATTATTTTAAAAGCTTTTTAGCAATCGGAAAAATGTAAAACAATTGAAAATCTTTTATTCTGAATATACACACTCTTATTAAACTGACTTAGAATTAAATACACAAAATCTAAACATCCTGATAATTGTGGTTATTTTATTTTTATTATTTTTTTAAGATCTTATTTATTTATTTGAGAGAGAGCAAGAGCACGTGTGAGCAGGAGGAGGAGCAGGGAGAGGGAAAGGGAGGGGAAAAGAAAATCTTAAGTAGACTCCATGCTGAGCACAGAGCCTGACGTGGGGCACAATCTCACAACCCTAAGATCATGACCTGAGCCAAAACCAAGAGTCGTACGCCTAATCGACTGAGCCACCCAGGTGCCCCGATTGTGGTTGTTTTAGATTTGTTATTAGACTGACCATAACAAACATAGAGATAAGCAAACAAGTGTCTGAAAATAATGTCCAATTCAATCATGCAGCAAATAGATGAGCAACCTGATCCAGAAAGAAACCTTAGACAAATTAGAAAATTTCATAGAGCCAAATCAGCATTAAATTTTATAAAAATGTCTAATACTAACCATTGGTTTGAAACAGTTTAGCCGTATATCAAACAACTTTAAACTCTCAGGGGCTTTTATTTTTAAAGATTTATTTATTTATTTTAGAAAGAGAACACAGAAGAGAGGGGCAGAGGGAGAGGAAGAGAGAGAATCTCAAGCAGACACCCCGCTGAGTGTGGAGCCCAACAGGGGACTCGATTTCACAACACTGAGATCATGACCTGAGCCGAAATCAAGAGTCAGACGTTTAATCGACTGAACCACCAGGGCGGCCCCTCTCAGGGGATTTTAGCAACAAATATGTATTTCCTCTTTCACAGGTCCATAGGCTGGATGTAGCTCCACAAGGCTAGTGTGGAATCAGTTAGGCTTGACTCCACTCCAGGCTGCTGGTTGGGTGCAAGCCTGCTCTGCATGTTTCCTCCTTCTCCTTGGACCAGTGGCTACCTGGGACATGTTCTAGAAGTAACTAGAGTCCAAGAGATTAAGCAGAAACATAAGATGCCTCTTGAGGTTTTTGGCCTGGAACTGGCACGCTCGTTACTTTGGCCCATATCTCGTTGACCAAAACAAGTTAAAAGGCCAAGCATGTCATCATTTGGGGTGAGGAGAGATGTCCTCTGCCTCCTCTAGTGGGAGACACCGAAAAGTCCTATGACAAAGACATAAATGTAGAGGGGTGCCTGCGTGGCTCAGTTGGTTAAGTGACTGCCTTCGGCTCAGGTCATGATCCTGGAGTCCGAGGATCGAGTCCTGTATCAGGCTCCCTGCTCAGCAGGGAGTCTGCTTCTCCCTCTGACCCTCCCCCGTCTCATGTGCTCTCTCTTTTTCTCTCTCTCTCAAATAAATAAATAAAATCTTAAAAAAAAACATGAACATAGAATTCCAATGTAGGAAGGTCATGAAGTATTGGGAACAATAATTCAATCTATCATATAATTTTATTTAATTAATTAATTTATTTATTTGAGAGAGAGAATGAGTCTGAGCACAGGGGAGGGGGAGGGGGGAGGGAGAGGGAGAGAGAATCCCAAGCAGACTCTATGCTGGGCATGGAGCCCAAAGCAGAGCTCAATCCCACAACCCTGAGATCATGACCTGAGCCGAAATCAAGAGTTAAAGGCTCAGCCAACTGAACCACCCAGGAGCCCCTCAATCATATAATTTTTAAAGAGCTCAATAAGCTCCTTAATGTTTCAAGAATAAGGACTGGGTATATGCAGCCCAAGGTACAACATCTCTGGTCCATAAACCATCTTATCCTGCTGAACTAAGAACCTAGGTTCCCTTGGGTGGTAAACATAGAGACAATGAAGTGAATCAAACACTTTTGGAATAATCTGTATAGATTTGGTATTTATCTGAGGAAGAGGGAACCAAGATAGTGGCAGTAGTAGGGGTTTGTGGCCAGTATGAGCTGCCACTTTGCTCTGGCCTGAGGCTGGGTCCTCAGCTTTGAGCCTCGCTGAGCAGAGCAGCTCGAGGCGCCTCTGCCACCACACACTGGGTTGTCATGAAAGACAAGAATACCCAGCAGCAGGGGTTTTGCTATGTGCACGGCAGAGCATGCAACTGAAGGCTGGGCTAGATTGCAAGGACAAGGTCTTGTGGTACTTAGTTCCCAACATGCTACTAGAAGAGAGTCCTCTAATATACACAGAATCTATCTTTTCCTCAAGTCAAGACTAATTAAAGATGCAATCCATTCCTGACCATCTCAACTATTTTTTTTCCACCTCAACTATTGATTAGACCAAAGTGATCGGCGACTCATCCCAGAGGCCTAACAGACAAAAGGACAGGGAGGTAATATGTACTCCAATCTCTATGGTTTGGTTTTTTTTTTTAAACAATGGCTGACATAAATTAAAAACTAAAAGACTTGAAAAGAAGCAGGGCACTGTGACCCAAAAACAAGAGGAAAAAAGTCAATGGAAATAGATCCAAAGACGACCCAGACGTCAAATTAAAATAAAAGGATTTTAATACAGATATACCTTGTTTTATTGCACTTAACTTTAGTGTGCTTCACAGATAATATCTTCTGTACAAATTCGAAGTTTGTGGCAACTCTGTGTTGGGCAAGTCTATTTAGGCCAATTTTCCAACAGCATTTGCTTACTTTGTGTCTCTGTGTCATCTTTTGGTAATTTTCACAATATTTCAAACATTTTCGTTATTATTACATTTGTTATGGTGACCTGTGACCAGTAATTATGAGTCACTGAAAGGTTAGATGATGGTCAGCACTTTTTAGCAATCAAGTTATTTTTAAAGTTATTTTTACTTTAAAATTTTTTAACATTTTTTAGACAGAATGCTATTGAACACTTAATAGACTACAGTATAGTGTAAACACAACTTTTATATGCACTGGGAAATCAAGAATGTTTCATTTGACTCACATTATTGCAATATTTGCTTTATTATAGTGTCTGGACCCGACCCCGCAATATCTCTGAGGTATGCCTGTACAGCTATTATTAATATGTAAAAACAAATTGAGGAGAAAAAAGAACAAAATGAAAGAAAAGAAAGAAGATTTTAATAGGTAAATGAATCTCTAAAAAATGGAAGTTACAGAAATAAAAGAAATAATATGAAGTTAAAAATGTAGCTCAGTAAATTTCTGGGCATTATTTCCTAGTCACCTTGATTCAGTATGTGAGATAGTTTGGTATAGCTGATAGACACCTAGATCCCATCGGCAACATATTAACATGCTACTTCTAAAGTAAATCTAAAGTAAAGTAAAGAGGATTTGTTTCATTCTCTTTATGTTAACAGATATGTTACTTTTTGCCAAAAGTCTGTGAATGCACCCTGTTTAGGACTCATGACCTTGTACACCTTCACCATCCAGAACATTTCAGAGTTCTATTATAAACAAACAAATAACTGTATTTACTTTAAAAATTGTTTTTGTGTTTACAGATTAATCCAGAAAAATCAGCTGCCCTACGATCTCGGAGGAACTAGGGTTCTCATATGCTTCTGTTTATTCAATTCATTTTAAATCAAAGAAAAATTCTGATTGTAAGACATTTTACATGGTTTGATTATTTCCATCCTTGAAATGTTTTTACTCTCCCTGCAACAAATCAGAGGCCTCAACAACTAAAGCCTTTTTTCTTTTCTTTCTTTCTTTTTTTTTTTAGATTTTATTTATTTATTTGTCAGAGAGAGAGAGCACAAGCAGGGGGAGTGGCAGGCAGAGGGAGAGGGGAAGCAGACTCCCTCCAAGCAGAGAGCTGGACATGGGGCTCAATCCTAGGGCTCATGATGTGAGCAGAAGGCAGATGCTTAACCAACTGAGCCACCCAGGAGCCCCCAAAGCCTTTTCTAAGAACATCTGCCTCTGAACCAGAACTGTGACACTATGCCTCAGATAATATTTTTTATACCTTTTATGATATGCTGAAAGAATTCTCATTGTTTTGAGATGAATAGTATTATTTAAATAAACTGATATTACATCAATTTAAGTAAGTCACTTTTAAAAGGTTCTATTTGTAGGGCACCTGGGTGATTCAGTCATTTAAGCATCTGATTCTTGATCTTGGCTCAGATCATGATCCCAGGGTCGTGGGATCAAGCTCCGTGTCAGGCTCCGAGATGAGCGGGATGTCGGTTGGAGATTCTCTGTCTCCCTCTGCCCCTCCCTGCCATGTGCTCTCTCTCTCTCTTTCTCTAAAATAAATAAACAGGGGCGCCTGGGTGGCTCAGTCGTTAAGCGTCTGCCTTCGGCTCAGGTCATGGTCCCAGGGTCCTGGGATCGAGCCCCGCATCGGGCTCCCTGCTCCATGGAAAGCCTGCTTCTCCCTCTCCTACTCCCCCTGCTTGTGTTCCCTCTCACTATGTTTCTCTCTGTCAAATAAATAAAATCTTTAAAAAAATAATAATAATAAAATAAAATAAAATAAATAAATAAATCTTTTTAAAAAGTATTATTTGTAACTTTACAGAATTTAGTATATTAGAGAATCTGACATGTAACTTTATAATTTTGAAACAAAAATATGTAATTGAGGGGCACTTGGGTGGCTCAGTCGGTTAAGTTCAGACTCTTGATCTCAGCTCAGGTCTTGATCTCAGGGTCGTGAGTTCAAGCCCTGTGCCAGGCTCCACACTGGGCATGCAGCCTACTTAAGGAAAAAAAAAATGTAATTGAGTAATTGATTTTAGACTTACAAAACAATTTTACTGTTCATAAATATTATTGCAATATTTAAAAGAACTCAGGAACTTGGAAAGGTTTTGCTTATGAGATCAAGCATTTAAAGTGCTTAAAAGAAAATAGAATGTACTAAGTTTACAAATGCAGTTTAAAAGTTTAAAGAAATGCAATTAACTATGTTGTAAATAGGGTTAGTTGTCTGATGAAGATTTATTTACTCAAGTGGAGTCGATTGAACTTTAATCAGGCAATTTGTAACATTTTTTAGGTGTATAAATAAAATAATCGAATTTGTTATTTTAACTTAAAGACATAATGAATACCAAGTTTCTTTAGTTGTCATCTTAATATGTTGAATATTAATTTTTAAAAACTTCAATACTGATAAAAAGTCTTTTCAATGTACAAAGGGACTCTTGGACAGTTAAAACTTTGCATTAATGAAGTCCTTTGTTGAACCGGGTGAGGTAATAAAAATTAAAAGTATCTCTGATTATTTGAAACGAATCTATCATTCTTTTGTTTTAAATACCACAATAATCACCCTGTTGGAAATCTTGGAATACATTCTTGACAGCCTGACCTTCTTCACTTTGCCAAAGACCTTAGAGGCCAAGCAGTACAGTGTAGGTTCCTACTTTCTCTATTCTGCAGTCAGAGCCATCATTCTAAACATCTGCTGCAAAAACTTACACCCTTCCAAGCTTCCCATTGCCCCCAGGATCAAGTCCCTAATCCTCCAGTGCTTGTCTGCCCCTGAGGCTCAGGAAGCCAGTCTGCCCTGGTTCTCTATATTCCAGCCACTTCGGCAAAGCTCCAAGCCTCTTCTTTTCTCAGGGCTTTAGTGATGGCATCCTCTGCTTGGATTGCTCCCCTCAGTATTTCCGAGCCCCATCATGTGCATGGCTACTATCACATGCCCAAAGAGGCTTTCTCTGACCCTCCAGACTAGGTTAAGGACTCCTGGTTCTAAGTCTTCGAAAAAGCTCAACAGAAACCATCTCTTCATCCTAAGGTTGTTCAGGCAACCTTAACCAATCCCCTCTAAAGAGTACTTACGGGGCGTCTGGGTGGCTCTGTTAAGCGACTGCCTTCAGCTCAGGTCATGATCCTGGGGTCCTGGGGTGGAGTCCCACGTTAGGCTCTCTGCTCAGCGGGAAGCCTGCTTCTCCCTCTCCCACTTGCTGCTGCTCCCCCTGCTTGTGCTCGTGTGTTCTCCCTCTGTCCAATAAATAAGTAATATCTTTAAAATATATATATATACCTACATTGTTTATTGTGTTTAACAATTTTACACAATGACTCATTTAACATCTTTGAATGTTATTAATACACTACAACAGATGCTGTTGGCGCCCTGCAGATATTCCTTTGGCCCTCCCTGTTTCGTTATACTTGGGGATCTCTTTCTACTTCAAGCACTCAAGACTCCTCCGCCTTAGGCTTTCTCAGTGGGAGGAGAGAGTTTGGTCCAGGTATGGGCAGGGCATTAACAACCCAGCAGCCCACCATCCAATGATGGATGGGAATTTGTGGAAAACTACCTCAAGTTTTTGGGTAAGACACCTCTGAGCCAATTCTGTATAGTCCCCCTGAGTAGGACTGAGCCCCAGTTACCCTCAGTAGTAATCTGGTAATTAATCTTGCACCCTGTATGGCTTCTATCACTTTCCTCTCTCACTTCCCTATGCCCTCACCAGTGACTCAGGTCACTGTCCAAAGAAACCACCTACACTGAAATCCTCGTTCAGGGACTAGCACGGGAAGAACCCAGCCTAAAATATTATCATATATTTGCTTACTTAGATTCACTTGATAATTACTAAGGTAACTGGCTCAAGGGATAAGCATTTTAAAGTGTGATCTGTAATGCTAAATGGCTCTCTAAAAAAGTTGGTCTAAGGAATTCTTATATAACAAGGACCATTTAAATTAAAAAAATTTATAACATATATCCTATTTTATTTCACATAGAATTTGAGACACATTTGTAGCAGGATGCAACTGTTTGCCAAATTATTTACTAGGATGTTTTGGTAGCTTGTTATGAGAACAGGGGCTTTGGAGTCAGGTAAACCCAGGTTGGAGTCCCAGATCTACTTATTAGCTTACTTGTTAATCTTACTTGGTAACGATGTGACCTTGACAAGTTATTCACATCTCTAGGCATCATTTTCTTTATGTCTGAAACAAGTAAAAAAAATTTTTTTAAATAATAATACCAATTTCACAGGATTAATGAGATGATATAGTTTAAAAATTTTTAATAGAGTACCTGGAGAGCCCAATAAAGAGTAATTATTATTATTACTGGAAAGAAAGAATAATGACTTATTCATACTTATGACCTATGGTACCAAGCACAGTATATGGGACCTAGAAAATGCTCAAATGCTTATTGAATTGAACTACCTAATCTACACAGCTGCTGTAGAGATCAAGTGACAGAATGTGTGTAAAAGTGTTTTGAAAACTAGAAAATACTGTAGAAATGTGGTGCTACCTGTCCCCTTGCCTGGTCAGGCAAAAAGAAGCCTCACTTCCTTTTCAGAGAATAGTTGGCTAAGTGGGTGTCACTCTTCCTGATATTCTGAAAATCAATATTTTGAGGCATTTTTATTTTATTTTGGGGGATCTATTTTCTTTTTTTTCTTTCATTTTTTAATTTAAATTCAATTAATTAACATATAATGTATTATTGGTTTCAGAGGTAGAGGTCAGTGACTCATCAGTCTTATATAGTACCCAATGCTTTGAAGCATTTTTAAACTTCACTTTGTGTGAAACTGCCAATTCTGGGCCCATCCTGCTTCCAGCAGCCCCGCTGATCTGTCAGGAGCAACAGCTCTGTGCAGACGTCTACTGCCAGTCATCCTAAATCAAACTGCCTGGGCCCACGGGTTTGTGTCACAGGCAGTCAGGTTTTTTTTAAGATTTTATTTATTTGTCAGAGAGACACAGAGAGAGGGCATGCGCACAAGCAGGGGAGCAGCAGGTAGAGGAATAATCAGGCTCCCCACTGAGCAGGGAGCCCAATGCTGGACTCGATCTCAGGACGCTGGGATCATGACCTGAGCCGAAGGCAGACGCTTAACCGGCTGAGCCACCCATTCGTCCCTGACCCAGAATTTTGGGGACAGTCCGAGTTTTAAATATCCAAAGATTTTTAAAAGAGGTTTGTGAATAGTTCTATTTCTTTTTCCTATTAATTCATTATCAACGTATTCCTTCCTTCCTTACATTTTTATTGAATACCTATTATAAGATAAGCAAGTCACAATATTGAACAAGACAAATGTGATCCTGCCCTCATGGAGCTTACAACCTTGTAATTATAGGAGTCACTAGATAGGGTTTAATTTTTATGCTTTTGTAAGACTTTTTATATGAAGAAGTTGGCCAATTGAAAAAAAGTTTTTAAAGCTTATGTCCACATTTTTCATTTTAAAAAATATGAAATGGGGCTCCTGGGTGACTCAGTCAGTTAAGTGTCCCACTCTTGATTTCAGCTCATGATCTTGGGGTCATGGGGTTGAGCCTTGCGTTGGGCTCCATGCTGGGTGTAGAGCTTGCTTGGGGTTCTCTCTCTGCCTCTCTCTGCCCCTCCCCCCCCACTCCTCTAAATAAATAAATAAATAAAGTAACAAAATAAAAAATATGGTCACTTTAGCTGTGAAGAGGTACAAAGGATCATATAAACTTTCCCAATAGGCCTCTCAAGAAAGAGGAGGAGGAAGAAGGAAGAGAATTTTATTTTAGAACCAGGCACTTCACTTAAGTTATCTAATTAAATCATAACAACTTGAGAGGAAGATGTTCTCATCTCCATTTTAAGAAGAACTGAGACTCGGAGAGGCTAAATGTCTTGCCAAAGTCTATCACTAACAAATGCCTTTGCTAAAATTAGACCCCAGCACTGCCTGATTCTCCGACCCAAGCTCTTTCTCCAGCTCCATTCTACCCCAAATTAAGCAACCAACTAGTAAGCCAAATAAGTATTAGCGAATGTTATGCATCATGGATGAGTACAAAAGAATGTGGTTCTTAAATTCCAGAGGCTTAAATCTGTTTGTGACACAAAAATAATAGGAACTAATCTAAGTGACTCCAAGTATGATAAGAGTTCCCAGAAAATACACATAAAAGTGATCTTGAATGGTTCAAACAGTTTCATAGAAAATAGATAAGTTGGCAGAGGACATAAATAGACATTTTTACAAGGAAGACATTCAGATGGCCAACAGACACATGAAAAGAGGTTCAGCATCACCCATCATCAGGGAAATACAAATCAAAACCACAATGAGATATCATCTCACACCTGTCAGAATGACTAAACTCAAAAACATGAGAAACAAGTGTTGGTGAGGATGTGGAGAAAAAGGAATCCTCATGCACTGTTGGTAGGAATGCAGACTTTTACAGCCACTGTGGAAGACAGTATGGAGGTTCTTCAAAAAATGAAAAGTAGAGGGGTACCTGGGTGGCTCAGTCGGTTGAGCATCCAACTCTTGGTTCTGGCACAGGTCATGATCTTGTATCTTGGGATCAAGCCCTGCATGGGCCTCCATGCTCAGCAGGGAGTCTGCTTGAGATTCTCTCTCTCCCTCTCCCCCTACCCCTCCCCCCACTCATGTGCATTCTCTCTCTCTCAAATAAGTAAATAAATTTAAAAAAAGGAAAAGTATGATATGATCCCTGGGCTATTTACCCAAAGAAAATGAAAACACTAATTTGAAAAGATATATGCACCCCTATGTTTTTTGCAGCCTTATTTACAATAGCCAAGATATGGAAGCAACCCAAGTGTCCATAGACAGGTGAATGGATAAAGAAGATGTGATATATAGATATATACAAAAACACACATATATATACACATATACACAATGGAATGTTACTCAGTCATAAAAAAGAATGAAATCTTATCATTTTCAACAACAAAGATAGATCTAGAGGATATAATGCTAAGTGAAATAAGCCTGTGAGAGAAAGACAAATACCATATGATTTCACTCATATGTGAAATTTAAGAAACAACAACAAAGAAAAAAAAGGAAAAACAAAAAAAAGAGTCTTAAATGTAGAGAACAACCTAATGGTTGCCAGAAAGATAGGTGAAATAGGTGTTGGGAACTAAGAGTATACTTATTGAAATGAACACTGAGTAATGTATAGAACTGTTGAATCATAATGTTGCACACCCAAAACTAATATGACACTGTTAATTATGCTTGAATAAAAAAATTAAAAATAAATAGATAAACAAACTAAGGGTAAAAAAGAGAGAGAGAGAGCAAGAAAATATATAAGTTGGCCTAAATTCTTCCAGGCATACGTAGGTCCTGTGTGGCTCAGTGATATCTTTGGTCACATTGTATTCAATGAGTTTTCCTGCCTTCCTTCTCTCCAAGAATATGGGCTCTGTGGGGTGAGGAACCACATTCTTATTTCACTAACCTTTGCGTCCCCACAATCTAACATAATGCTTACTATGTAACAGATAGTAGGTGTTTGAGAAAATTTGAATTAAATCAAGACGGCTCTTGGGTATGGGTATGGGAGGATGATTTAAGATTAACAAGGGGGGCGCCTGGGTGGCTCAGATGGTTAAGCGTCTGCCTTCGGCTCAGGTCATGATCCCAGGGTCCTGGGATTGAGTCCCACATCGGGCTCCCTGCTCCTTGGGAGCCTGCTTCTCCCTCTGCCTCTCTCTCTGTCTCTCATGAATAAATAAAAATAAAAATCTTTAAAAAAAAAAAGATTAACAAGGGAAGCATACTCGGTGGGGTGCGGGTGATAGTGGGGGCAATGGTGAGGAAGTAAGATTGAATGCGGTGAGTGTGGTAGAAGCAGTCTGAAGGGAGTAGAGGGAGAAGGCTGAAAAACTAAACGCCATAGTTGTTGCAGTGTTCATGGGGGCATCTGTGACTTGGAAAGGAGGACTTTTCAGTCCAAACAACTAACCTGAGATTATAAGCACCATAAGGGAAAATGGGAGAAGGTAGTCACAACCATCATGAAAACAGAAGCAGTCGGAGCGCTGGAGAAACGTGCAAAATGCTCACGATCTCCGAACAGCAACGCAGACCCTCTGCAAGCAGCCAGCGCAGAGGAATCAGACTGTAGCTATCACCTCATCGGTGCTGCTAGACCGCATTCCAAGGCTGAGTTAGTGATCCCATCTTTCCATTTGATCCTAAGTATAGCTCTAGGTGAGGCCCATGAAAACATCCCTGCCCTTCTTCCACCCTCTCCACTAAATCATAATGACTCCCTCTCATTGGCTGAGTTATTAAATTCCTTAGCTTGCTAGAGCAAATCAAGGTGAGACTCAAAGGACAAGAGAGAAACAAAAAATGAGTTACACTGTTTCTCACCGAACTAAGAGGAGGCCAAGTTTTAGAGGCTGAGGGAAGCAGGGAGGCCAAGTTTTAGAGACTGCTGAAGCCATGTAACCCAGTTTCCAAGCACAAGAAGGGATTTTGGCTGTTATTTAGTGTTAGATTTGCTGAGGGCAAGGAAAGGCCTTGTCAGAAATATTAATCCTGAATGAAACATGTGCGTGTCCAGGACTGGCTATATCAGAGGAAAGGACAGATCCGAGATGAGGGGCCTCCAAACAGGGGACAGCGTCCCAGAGAAAGTGATGATGAAGCTAAAACTTCAGATTTAAGTAGGAGTGTGCCTGGGGGATGAGGGAAAAAGGCATTCCTGGCAGAACGCACAGCTCATGCAAAAGCATGCAGGAGTGAAACAGTGCGACTTTCTGGTGCAGCTCCTTCCATCAGCACACCCAGCCCTGCGATTTGTACCAGGTACCATTCATTTGTTTTTTTCATTCATTTCCCAAATATTTATCAAGCCCCTGCTGTACAACAGACTCTATTCTAGGGGCTGGGGCCACAACAAAACAAGCAAAATTCCTGCCTTTAAGGAACCTACATTCTAGTGGGAGGAAACAGGAAATAAAAAATAATACATTAGGAGGTGATAAGGGTTACGTCAACATGTATTCACCATAGCATAGAACCTCAGTTCCAGAAATACATTACTTAGTATTTGTTTGGCTGTCCATAACAGAAAAACCCAATATTATAGAGACTTACATAGTATAGAGTTTATTTCTCATGTAAAAAAGGTAATCTACTGCTGTAATGGCAAGTTACCAAGCAGTCAGAGAC